CCTTGAAGTTTACCATGACTTTGTCACTGGTGGGCGAACAAAAGCTGCTCGAGCGAGACGGCTGGGGTTCGGAAAGTCCCGGACAGTTTACGTTGACCCTGGCTCCTCGGAACACGTTCTGAAGTTGGCGCCTCCACAAGGTCACGGGCCAGAACCGGAAGCTTGGAGACTGCTCCCTCATATAGTGCCGTGCACTTTGGATGCGGGTATTCACCTGCTCACGCTTTCTTGGAAGAGCTGCTATGATATCATCTCCACGCATGTTTTGAGGCAGTCTAGGCTCACTCCACTTTCGGTGTGGAGGCCAGCTCCGCCGGACCTTGATATGGTCCGCTACATGATGGCACTGACTGCGGAGGCCTCCCGTTTCTACAATCTCAAGGATCTTGGCTTTTTCAACTTTGGTGTTGATGCCCGTGGCTTCATTATGATGTGGGACACCGCAGACTGGCTTCCATGGGAGGGTCAAAGGGCACACTGGCCGAACAGACAGCGTGCCTCGGCTTTCTGGAGCGCGGTCAAGAGGAGTGTTCCAGACCACTTTCAGGAGCTACTCCAGCTTGTCAGCAACGCCTCGCCTGAGGAGGTGCTGCAACGGCTACGACCACTCCTTACGCAGCACTACAAGTGGTGCCTGCTACAGCAGGGAGTTTTCCTTGGTGACTAGCCTACTAGGTGAGTCAAGCTGCCCTGGCCGTCGAGTGGAAGGCCGCCTGAACTTTTGCTTTTCACTGCCTCCTGGGCCCTCGCCTTAGGGCTGAGGGCCCGAGGCTGTGGAAGGGTGCAGCTCAGCCTGGGCACTGACCTGGACCAAAGGTCCCGCAGCAGGCCGTGACAGCCTTGTTGCTCTGCAAAATGGTTTTCAAGCACTGTACTTCAGCATCGCCTTTGCTTCGTAGCCTGCCTGCTTCCGCTTCTCCGTGCTCTGGCAGGCTTGCGGTGCCCAGGAGCCCCGTTTTCTGCAGGATCCTCGGTCCGGTCAGCCCGAGTGTCCAGCCTTTGCTTTGAGCCTTTGCTTTGAGAGCTAGTTGGCAGGTGATCAATCTCTTCAGGTGTGTCTTTAAGGAGCAGGAGATCTGACAGCAGGAACACGAAAGCTTTTGCCGCTTCGCTGTTTCGTACAGGACCACGCCTCGCCAGCTGGGCTGAGGCTTGCGGTGCCCAGGAGCCCCGTTTTCTGACCACGCCTCGCCAGCTGGGCTGAGGCTCGTACTCTTGAAGCTTGTGCAGGGCCAGTACAGGGTACGTGTAGTCAACAGGGGGGGGGGGGCCTTCCGTGCAAGAGTGTGCAGTGTGTGCAGGTGTGTACCCTGCTGCCCATCCCTCTGTTTGCACTGCAACAGTGTAAACCTGCTTGACACACCTGTTTTGCAGCTACTTTGGTTTGCAGCTGCACGGTCTCCTTTTCTTCTTGGCCGCCAACTGAGCTAAGTGAGTTAGTTATGAAGGTCGCTCAACCGCTACCTCGCCCAATGGGGCCTGAGGTTACTTGAGCCAGACACCTTCCTGTACAGTCTTCCGATTTTGAATAGGGCTTTGAGGCTACTGGTTGTACTGGAGCCTTCAAGGCGTACTCGCTTAGCCCTGGCTTTGCTACAGCCAGTTTTAATTAATGCATGCTTCAGGGTTTCTTCGGACAGGCCTCTGGCCGTGGACTTTCGCGCCACCGGAATGATTTTCAATCCTATAATGGTGCCCCTGTGTCTCGCCAAGGTCAGGAACACTTTCTGTTTTCTCCTTAGTGAGTTTTAGAGAACCTTAGGTGTAGTTGTGAACGGTAGGAGTAGGGAAAAGTTGTCTGTCTGTCGGTCGCTGCGCTCACGCTTCCTGTCTCACCTTGCGGTGAAAGTGATCATTACCAGAAGCGTGTCCAACCGGAGTTTTCCTCACGAGTTTTCACGATCAACGGTGTTTCCCTGAAGCATGATGAACATCAGAGTGTTTTCAGTTTGTTTGCTGTGAGAACGGACTTCTAGACGAAGTCCGGGGAGCACCTGGGCCATAGAACAGAGTTACCAGTGCAGAGAAGCCGTTAGGAGTCCTTAGGACTTACCTCGGAAGTGAGTGTGCTGAAGTCTCTGTCTGCGCCCCGTTTCACTTGGCTCAAGACTTGCACTGCGTGACAAGCGCGTGGTGAACAGTTGGTTGCGACGAAAGGTGTAAAAGTGCTGTTAGCTTTCACTGCTGTAGCCTTGCGTGACGTAGACAGTCAGTCGGCTTGCACCTCCTTTTACTAAACCTAGAAGTGTGCCTCAAGGCGCGTTTGGGTTTTAACGCAACATGAGGGCTCGGTCCGCACAATCCACAACTTTCACCCCAAAGTTCTGTGGACTGAGTTTGAGTTCACAAGCAGGCAACGACAAGGGGAGGGAAAGCAGGGTAAGGCAGTCCGGAGAGTTGGAAAGTTTTTGCTGAAGTGCTCCAGCGCAGTCAATTCCTTTAACCTGCTGTTAAAGTCTGCCCCAGCTTGGTAACAGCGAAGGGTGTCATGCTGCTCCGCGAAATTCTCATCATCTGCTGGTACACACCTGCTGGCAATTGAGGTGACCTCTGGCACAAGACGATCAGGCGGGGATTCGACCGCGCCCAGTAGGTCCTCCACACGTTGAGTCCATGTAGCGGTAGGTGCAACTGGGTGAGAGGCCGCACAGCTTTGGCTGCGCAGCTCGGCTGTCGTCGGATCTTTCTTGGCAGGCTCGCCGATCTCCGGGTCCGGGCGCACCGCACCTGTCGGATCATTTAGGGCTCTTGGCAGTCCAGTAGTAGCACCGGGGGAGCAATGTTGCTTGAGGGGAAGAATGTCGCAGGCGCGACGACACATAGCGCTGCAACCTTCCTAGCACCTGGTGTTGACCGTGCAGAGGAAATAGCGTAGAAGTAGAATGCGCCGGACCCATCACTGTTGACTCCGACACACCAGCGTTGCCGCGGCACTCAGTGGCAGGTTCCGCGCAAGGCATGTGAGACCCTATGCGATCTGTGATGGGTAGAGCGAAGGGCACTGAAGAGCGTCTTGGGGAGAGCGACACCTCCTCCTCTGTGGTCACGGAGGCGATGGAGCCCGAATCTCGGCGGGTTAGTGAACTCCAGTAGTCCAAACACAGGAAACTCGGTATCGATGACAGAGTAAAACGGCCGTGCCGTAATGGACTGACCGCGCGGTCCACTGTGCTCAAAGTCCACCCTCCGAAGGAGGAGCTGAACCGAGTAGCCCTCTATGCCACTGTGAGCTGCTACCGCAGTAGCCTTACAGAGCGAGGGGACGCGATTCACGGACCATCGTTCATTGATTATCGCCTCTCCCACTCATTGGTGGGGCATTCCGGCGGCATTGGAGCTCCACTCTGTCCTCCATCACACCCACGTGCGATGGGAGGAGCTGTACAGCGCCTATGGGCTGGCCAAGCTTGGGATATCAAGGGGCCCGTAGGTCGCGTGCTGCCCGCCGTGAGCCGCTGATGCTCTCGGGTCATGGTAAAGCGGCCAGCCCTGTCGAGAATGCAGATGTCGACTGCACCTGTAGTGCCAGCGCAGACTGTAGTGGTGAAGAGGTCCACAAATGCCCCCAATTCATTGTGATGGTCATAGAAGAAGGAGAAGAGGGATGCAGCCTGCGCCTCCATGGTAAGGTGTCCCGGCGGGGGGAGCTCTGGCAACCAATCCGAGATAAACTCCGCGAGGGATGTACCTTCGGCCACCACTCGGTGCGCGTTACCTGTGTCCGCGTTGGCGGGGCGAGCATTGCTGAGGCCAAGACCATGCTTGAGGGCGTCAAAAACCCGGGTGGTGGGTGTGACTACCGTGACTTTCCGTCCAGCCTGCACTGCGAAACGATGCCCGCAGACGTTGTAGGCGAATACCAGGAGGACACAGAGCAATTCCATCAAGCCATCTGGGTGCATGTCCGATGTATGCCGCGGTAATCGGACGAAGTACACTCCTGGCTGGTGAGTGCCGTCCGCCGCTACCCGTTGAAGCCGCCTCGCCGCGGTGTCCGCAGCTCTCTATGGGCCCCTCCCCCTTTGACAAAGGGGGGCTTAAGGGGGGGCTTTAAGGGGGGCTTTAAAGGGGCTTTAAGGGGGTGAGCAAAGGGGGGCTTAAGGGGGCTTTAAGGGGGGCTTTGAAGGGGGGCTTTAAGGGGCTTTGAAGGGGCTTTGAAGGGGGGCTTTAAGGGGCTTTGAAGGGAGCTTTAAAGGGGACTTTAAGGGGCTTTGAAGGGAGCTTTAAAGGGGGCTTTAAGGGGGCTTAAGGGGGGCTTTGAAGGGGGCTTTAAGGGGGCTTGAAGGGGGGCTTTGAAGGGGGCTTGAAGGGGGGGATGAAGAAGGGGTTTTGAAGCCTTCAAAGTATGGGTGCTACATTGAATTTTCTTCGCAAAACACTCCAAAAAGCGATTTCGTGAAGTCTGCTTTTCTCATTTTATTTCTTCGCAAAAACCCCCCATCAAACGATTTCGTGTGGCTTCTTCTTCTTGTTTTGTGTGTGTGTGTGATTGCGTGGGGGCTTGTAATTGTGTTTTGTTTCGCCTAGTTTGGGTAGCGAAGCGGACCAAACAGTTTGTTCCAAGGAGGCCCGGGGGGGAGGGGGGGAACAATGGGGGCTTGAGACCACCATCAGTTCTGTACGCTTCAGCCATCGTGCTTCGGTCCACGGCCTGCATGCAGTTGCTCTCAGTCATGTCAGTTATGTCAGTCATGTCAGTTGTTTGCAGTTTTCAGTGTTCTTTGCTCGCGATACTTTTCAGTTTTTCCTTTGGCGAAACATTCAGGTGAAGATGATTTTAAAGAAGTTTTATCTTTGAACACTCCTCCTCAAAGGAGGTGTTTTCCAAATCTTTGATTTATCATTCCAGTCGCCTATGATTTTATGTTATTTGAGTTGAGGGCGATTCGCCCCTTGTCAGTTCAATGATATATCTTACGCCGATACATTCTGGATCAACCGGAAGGGGACTCTTAGTCCTTTTAGTGTCTGGGGGGCGCCTTTTCAGGCTTCTTCGCGCAATGGAAGATAGGCTGTGGGGCCTTCTTGAAGAGAAGGGCTGCAGTGCTGTGGGTTTGCTTCGCATGCATTTTCAGACTCCTTGGCACCTGGCATGCGCAGTGGATAGTGTTGAAGACGCGGTGCGATTGGCAGAGCAGATCACTCCGGGTTCGATTCCTTCGGACCACAAACGGTTGGGATCTCAGATCTGGGAGTGGATGACTGCTCACACAGGTCTTTTCAAGCGGGTGCAAAGCAGGCTTACTGCGAAGGCCACACGAATTGAAGCGACCCCTGGAAGTTCGGTGTCTCCTTGTGATATCTTTGATCAGTGCGTGAGCAATAGTCTTGATCTTTGCAAGCAGACCAGTCGTGCACATGCTAGATGGATTTCGAATGGCGCCGGGACCCCGGCGGATGCAGAAAAATCTTCTAAGAAGTTTTGGGGAACTGTCCTGGTTCAGATCATGGTGGAGGCAAAGCTTCCTATCGTTGACATTCCGGTTGAGAATGAGGAGCAGCGTGTTTCTTATGCTCTCCGAGCTCTGGGGGCTCGGAGGTCCAAGACACTCAGGAATCGTGCGAGGACCTGGCGCAAGGCTCGTGACTGGATGCTTTCAGTTAAAGGTTACCCTTTCCCGAAGAGCCCTTCTGACGTTGTAGATTACCTCATCTTCTTGGAGCAGGAGGTGGGTACAAAGAGCTGCATTTCTGAGCTTATGAGCGCGTTGTCTGTCATTGAGGATGCTGGTTCCTTTGACAAATCAGCTGTGCAAGAACCGATTGGTCGTCGCGGCCTCAAAGAGCACCGGGGCTGAAGTGCAGGAGGGGAAAACCAGCAGGAAGCAGGCGGCTCCCCTTTCGGTGGCGATGTTATTATCTTTGGAAATTTTTGTGGTGACTGGTACGAACCCTCATTATGCTCGGTGCCTGATGTGGGCCTGCTTGGTTTGCGTATGGGCTTGCATGCGTGTCTCTGATCTGCAAGGAATCGACGTTTCTCGCCTTAGGCTTTTTCGTGAGGGGCTTAAGGGCTTTTTAGTGAAGACCAAGACGACAGGACCTGATAAGAAGGTGGCCGAAGTTCCTTTCTTTATAGGCAGGTGTGTCGGGCTTTCAGGACGTGATTGGCTGGGCATTGGATTTGATTTGTGGAAAGGCCTGGGACAGCTTGATCGCACTTATTTGGTTTTCCAGTCTTCTGAAGATTTTGAAGAGCCATCTTACAAGTTCGCCAAGCCGGAGGTTATTAGCAATTACATGCGTCTTATTTGGGGCCAACTTTTGGTCCCTTTCAGGAAGCTTGGTGAAGGTGTTTGGCGATCCAGGGCTGATGGTAAGCTACTGGGTGATGAGTGCTATCTTTTCTGGACAGGTCACAGTATGAGACATGTTTTGCCAACGATTGCAGCGGTGCTTGGTGTTCCAAAGGAGCAGAGGGATTATCTTGGCAGGTGGCATGTTGGTCTGCATCAGAGTGCGGATTACATACACACATGTCGCCAGATCGTGCATGATTTGCAGCGTCGGGTTTGTGACAAACTTTCGGGCGGCAGACCTGGCTACGATGAGGAGGAGTTGTTTGATGAGCTTAGGGCCTGGCTTCAGAGGAGAGGCTTGGACCCTGAACCTTGGATTAAGCTTCATTCCGTTATGCGCACCGTGGATGGATGCAAGGTTTTGAATCAGAGATGGCCACTGCTTCATGACATCTCCGAGAGGTCGGACGACGCTGCCCCGGCCCCGTTGATTTCAAACTCTTCACAAGATTCTGGCGAGTCTCCTTTCTGGGTGAGCATCAGCAGGCACTCAGGGCACAGGCGACTGCACATACGGAATGGTTGCTGGGTCACTCCCGGTAGCTGTCACCGTTTCGCTGAGGTTTGGAAGGTTGACTCCTCAGTGGCCGACAGTTTCTGCAAATTATGCTATCGCGATAAGGAGAGCTCATCTTCGAGTTCGGGGGAATCTTCCTCCACGGATTTAGGTGAGCCATCAGAACCACTCGAGGTGGCTGACCCGTCTTTTCACACGTGATGCAACTCGTTGGAAGTGTGTGTGAACAAAGATGGGAGTGCGCTCTGCGTGCGACTTTCAGTGCACTTTCAGTCCATTTGTTGATGCTTTCAGCTCGGGCGTCACGCTGCGCAAATTCTGTGGGATGCCGGTGACTTGCTCAAGGATCCCTTTCAGTTATCAGGACATGAGTGTCACGTGGTGACAACTATCAGATCTGAGAAGCTTGCTTCGCTTTCAGTTTCCCTCCGGGGTTTCAGCCTTCAGCATCAGGACATCTGTCAGACTTTTAGGGAACTCGATCGTAGACAAACCGCGGTGGTCCGCCATGGCCGCGGACCCAGCTGCACAACGTGCATATCTTCAGGCTAATGTGGATGCAGACTTTGTGTTCCTTCTTGAGGAGCATGGGGTCGATCTGGCACTTCAGTTTGCTATCGGTCAACATTACAAGAGCATTCGCACTTTTGCTGCTTTCGCCGATGATCGTGGTGCAGCACGTACTGCGATTACAGCCGATTTCGCTATCAGGCCTGAGAGCGCTGCGGATCGAGCTAGGATGGCATGCATCATCACTGCTTGGGAAGCTTCCAAGATGATTCGAGAGGAGGAAGCTAAGCTTCGTGCTGAGGCTAAGGTTTTGGGTGTTCAGAAGCCACTCGCCTCTTCGGATCGCGCGGCCATGCGGGTCGCCCTGGAAGCCGTTCGAGGCTACACCGTGCCGGAGTCCGAGGAGCCGGCGCCTGAGTACTTGGCACACAAGCTTGAACAGATTGAGAATGGCGAGCCCACTGCCAGCTATCTTGATGAAGTTATCTCTCGAAAAGAGTCCAACTCGCTTCAACTTCAGACTTCCTTGGACAATCAGGGCCGGCTTCGGGTCATGCGACAGAAGCCAAAAGGTCGCCTTCCGCAGAATACGGAGGAGCTGCGGGCGAAGCTTCGTCTCGAGGCCTCCACTTGGGTCATGCTCTCAGCCAAGTGTCGCGGTCGTGCATATTTGCAGGGGCTGCAGCTGTCACACTTTGATCGTTTCCTTGAGTTCCTGTTGGGTGACAAGTGTTACAGCATGCAAGTGGCTTCCAATGCTCCCGCAAGCTCTTCTCATGCGGAGAAACAGGCACTGTCGGTGCCTTGGAATGTCCTGCTTCAGTACGAGTTTGAGCTTCGTAAGTGGGCTATCAAGGAGGCTCATCGCGATGGGACCCCGCTCGGTGACAAGTTGTATGAGGCCACCCGGAATACCGAGCTCAAGGAGCTCCACTTCACCTCTCAGGTCGCCTTGTCAAAACGTTCGGCCGCTCATGATCCTCCCCCTCCAAAGTGGCCCCGCAAGGGCAAGGACGGCAAAGGGGAAAAGGCGGCAAGGACGGCAAGGGTGGCAAGGACGGCAAAGGGGGCAAGTCCACTGGCAAGATTCAGGTCGGGGAGTCCTGGTATGAGTTGGTGGCCAAGACTCCGGATGGTCGTGAGCTTTGTTATGCCTACAATATCAAGCGTGGATGTCAGGTCAAGGGATGCCAGCGCGTCCACGCGTGTCGCGTGAAGGGCTGCCAGGGCAACCATCCGGCATATCAACACGGCGCGCAAGGTGGCTCCTGACTTCGCCGTGGTCCGTTGAATTCAGTTGGCGAGTGTACTTCAGGGATACGTCCTACGCTTCGCGTGCTGTATCTGTTTTCAGGTCCGTCCCGCAAATCGGATGTTCGTGGCTCCCCGGAGGCGCTTTGCAAGGCACAGAGTATCACTTTGGTAATGTCAGAAATTGACATCTGCCGCGATCCCAAGCTAGACCTTTTGGATCCTGCCATCGCCGATCGATGTTTGCAGGAGGTTAAGAACTCTGAGTGGGATGTGGTCTTGGTGACCCCACCCTGTGGGACCTTTTCGCGGGCTCGGTGTGTACAGCCGGGTCCTCGGCCACTGAGATCACGTCTTTATCCTCGGGGCTTTCCTTGGCTATCCGATTCTCACCGAGCTCTTGTTGAACATGGCAACCAGCTTGTTTCTTTTGCCTTTGACATCTGCACAAATGCGCTTTCGAATTCAGTACCTTTCCTACTTGAGCATCCTGAAGATCTGGGGCTCACTTCCAACGGTCATGCTCCGGCTTCCATTTGGCAGCTACCGGAGGCCGTTGCTCTTTTCAAGCATGAGAATGTCATCACTTTCGCAGTATACCAATGCCAATATGGGGCGTTTTCGCCCAAGCCCACACGTTTTCTGTCTTCTATTCCGGTTACTTCTCGAATGCCCTTCACTGGGCCGCCTCGGTTTGACGCTTCAGATCGATACCTCGGCCCTTTGCCGAAATACTGTGGTCATCGGCATCAGCAAAAACTGCTCGGGCCTGCCGCTACTTCCGCGGCTGCAGCTTACCCGGACGATTTGTGCAGAACCATTGCTGAATGGTGTTTCTCCGTCTTCGATGGGGGGGGAACACTGGCTGCATTGGCTCCTACACTGGTGCTGGGACCGGGTTTTCAGTTTCCAGCGAGGGAGGTGGAGGCTGGCTCGGGCGCTTCCCCTGCGGAGCGACTTGCTGCAGAATGCTTGAGGAACGGGACAATTTCGCACGGGCAACTTCTGCGCATCTCTGAATTGCTGCCGGATGAAGACAGAGTTCGACAGACTTCTAGGGTGATCGAAGGTCAGCGATCGTTCACTGCAGGAGCCTTTGTTCACTCTGACAAGGTTGGCATCAGGCGCAACACGAGGAGCTTTCCTTTGTCTTCAGAGCTTTTGGCCAAGCTGCTCTCGTGTGGCTTCCCTGGCCGACCCTTCACTTCTTTAGCATTCTTTCGTGATCTTAAGCAACCGCCGCATCGGGACACCACGAACGGACCTTTTGACAATCTGCTTTTGGCCTGTTCAGGGTTTTCGGGGGGCGGTCTTTGGGTTCAGTCGGAGGGCGGCTCGGTCCGTCGTTTCATAAGTGGTTCATGGCTGTCGGGTCATATCCTGGACTGGGACGGCGGCAAGATTACCTTCGATCCACATGTCTGGCATTCCACGGAGGACTGGGAAGGTTGTCGCTTGGTCCTGGCCGGGTACACCATTGCGAACGATGGGCAGCTCGCTGAATCGGACCGGGATGCTTTACTTGACTTGGGATTCGACCTGCCAGGAAAGCGAAAGCGGGACCACTGCGAGACCACGACCGCAGGGGATGCTGGCGACGATGGGAAGGAGATTGAGGACCTACCTTATAGTGAGCTGAAATCTGGCTGTGAGGGACCGCCCTTGGTGGGCGAGTTTGCAGGGGCGACTGACGAGTTTGTGGACGGCTTCGGTAGATGCTCGCCGGGGCGTTGGAAACCTATCTGCCGGGGGCGCCACATGTCTCCTGCCGCCACTTCCTTTGCACAACAGCTTAAAGATCGTGTTCGAAAGTTTGTTCTTGAAAACGTGCCTGATCTGGCAAAAGCGACTTTTCGTCTGGCGACGGGGCATTGGAATGGTCCCTTGTTCGCTCCGGAGGCAATGGACAAACTTCGCGAGGATTGGTTCTGCATGCTGCCGGATCCTGCACGAGCAAGGGAGCTGATTCCTCATCAGCCATTCTACTTGAGGGCAATGGCACAGACCCTAAAAATCTTGGAGGATCCCGACTACCGCATCATCGAGGAGGGCAAGTTCTGCTTCGTGAATGGTGTGGAGGTCGGACACACTGCGCCTTTGGGGCCGGTCCCTCAAGTCTTCAGAGCTCGTCGAAAGGATCAGAAATACGATGAGTCCGACTGGCAACCGCTGATGGATAATTATCGGGACGGCCCTGAGGTTGCAAAATCGCTTGAGGAAGCATTTGCAAAAGAAGAGGCAGAAGGCCGTATGTTCCCACTCTCTCTTTCAGAGGCCCGGGCCCGCTATCCGGGGGCGGCACTTCGTATTGCAGCGCAGGCAGTGATTCCGAAACCTGACCAAGATTTTCGTGTGGTCCATGATGGGACCCACGGGGTCCACGTTAACAATGAGATTGTTATGCTGGACCGTCTTGAATCGCCAGGGGCTAGGGAAGTGTCCGCGATCCAAAAGCTGGGCAGCGTGTCTGATGAGAAAGTCCTCTTCGGTCTCGTGGGGGACGTGAAAAAGGCGCACAGGCGCTACTTGCACCATCCCGACCATTGGGGGGTGCTCTCCTGCAGAACGAGGAGCGATTCCTCTGTGGTCTGGGTCAATCGCACTGGGACTTTCGGAATTGCTTCAGCGGCTTATTGGTTTGCGCGGATCATCGGTCTCGTGGGCAGGCTTTCCCTCAGAGTTCTCCTTCAGTCATTCCTCTTCATGCTCATTTATGCCGATGATCTACACGTGCTCAGCGGGGGACCCGATCGCTGGCTCAATCTCTGGATGTCCCTTGCGCTACTATGCCTTCAGGGGACCCCCTTCTCAGAACGAAAGTGGCGTGGGGGACTGCAACTTGATTGGGTCGGTTATTGGATTGATTATGGACGCTTCAAGCTGGGAATATCTGAAAGGAGGTGCCATTGGATCATCAGTGGCATCGAATCCATGGAGGGAAACGGCTGGCTTGTGGATGTCCGACGATTTCATGAGCTTCACGGGAGACTCGGTTTCATGTCCCAGGTCTTAGTTTGGATTAGGCCCTTCTTGGCTCCTGGTTACGCTTGGCTGGCTGCTGTGAGGAAGGGGGCTGTGCTCGCGCTTCCCAATCTTATCCGTTGTGTCTTGAGGTTTATCGCTGACCGCTTGAGGCACGGTGCTCGTACTTACGAATCGGGCCGTCTTGAGAAGGACTGTGGGGAGCTCTTCCGCACGGATGCCGATTGCAATGATTCTTCGGTTGTCTTGGGCGGATGGTTTTTGCACAAAGGGCCGGAGCCAAAGAAGGCCCCATGGTTTCAGATCACTTTGAGCAGGGACGACGCTCCTTGGTTGTTCAAGAAGGATTCGGGCAGTTCGTGGGCGAGCACTTCGGCTGAGGTTCTTGCTTCGCTTGCGGCGCTACACTTGTTGAGACGTGACTTCAAGGATCTCTGGTCAGTTCCTGGGCACTTCCGTGCTTGCTTCTGTGGCGGGACTGATAATAAATCTGCCGAGGCGCTGTCTTGCAAGCTGCTCACGACTCGAGTGCCTCTCATGTTTGTGGTGATGGAGTTCGTCACCTTTTGTGACGCTCTGGGTTTCAGATGCAACCTCAGCTGGAGACCCAGGGACTCTAACCAGGAGGCGGACCGCATCACCAAACATGTTTTCGAGGACTTCGATGAAAACTTGAGACTGCCTTTCAGCTGGTCAGATATGACCTTATCAGTTCTGCCGTCTCTCTTGAGATTCGCGAGCTTTCAGTCTGAACTTGATTCCATCAAGGCCTCGGTTGCGGATGATGGAACAACCTCAGCTCCTCGAATAAGGTTCGAGAAAAGTCAGTGGGGATGAGGGAAAGGAGATGCCCTCGTCTGCGAAAGGGGGCAAATCCCTCTCGTCATCTCCTTTATGCAGGAGGTGTCTTTTGCACTGTGTGATGTCGGGCTGTGCGGACCAAAACGAAGTCTTCTTGTGCGCACTGCTGTCGTTCCCTGTTCCTTAAACCCTTTCCTTAAACCCTCCGGGTTTTAAGAAAGTTTTTGAGCCTCCTGGGTACAAGCCTAGTTTGGGTAGCGAAGCGGACCAAACAGTTTGTTCCAAGGAGGCCCGGGGGGGAGGGGGGGAACAATGGGGGCTTGAGACCACCATCAGTTCTGTACGCTTCAGCCATCGTGCTTCGGTCCACGGCCTGCATGCAGTTGCTCTCAGTCATGTCAGTTATGTCAGTCATGTCAGTTGTTTGCAGTTTTCAGTGTTCTTTGCTCGCGATACTTTTCAGTTTTTCCTTTGGCGAAACATTCAGGTGAAGATGATTTTAAAGAAGTTTTATCTTTGAACACTCCTCCTCAAAGGAGGTGTTTTCCAAATCTTTGATTTATCATTCCAGTCGCCTATGATTTTATGTTATTTGAGTTGAGGGCGATTCGCCCCTTGTCAGTTCAATGATATATCTTACGCCGATACATTCTGGATCAACCGGAAGGGGACTCTTAGTCCTTTTAGTGTCCCACCCGGCCCACCCTGTATATTATTTCTCATATGGTCTGTTCATAACAGCCCAATCTGGATGGGGGGGCAAAATCCCTCTCGTCATCTCCTTTATGCAGGAGGTGTCTTTTGCACTGTGTGATGTCGGGCTGTGCGGACCAAAACGAAGTCTTCTTGTGCGCACTGCTGTCGTTCCCTGTTCCTTAAACCCTTTCCTTAAACCCTCCGGGTTTTAAGAAAGTTTTTGAGCCTCCTGGGTACAAATTAAGTTTGCTTTTCTCATTTTATTTTCTTCGCAAAAACCCCCATAAAACGATTTCGTGTGGCTTCTTCTTCTTCTTGTTTTGTGTGTGTGTGTGTGATTGCGTGGGGGGCTTAAAGGGGAGCCGGGAGGCTTAAAGGGGGGCTTAAAGGGGGGCTTAAGGGGGGCTTAAAGGGGGGCTTAAAAGGGGGGCTTAAGGGGGGCTTAAAGGGGGGCTTAAAGGGGGGCTTAAGGGGGGCTTAAAGGGGGGCTTAAAGGGGGGCTTAAGGGGGGCTTAAAGGGGGCTTAAAGGGGGGCTTTAAAGGGGCTTAAAGGGGGGCTTAAAGGGGGGCTTTAAAGGGGCTTTAAGGGGGGCTTAAAGGCTTCGACCCTTTGCCCCCCCCCCCTTTGGGGAGACCCCTTTAAAGGGGGCTTTAAAGGGCTTAAAGGGGAAGGGGGGCTTAAGCCCCCCTTTGTCAAAGGGGGTGGGGCCCATCCTCCCGCAGCTAGCTCACCAGGCGCCACAACCCTCGGGAGCCATTCTGCAGCAATTGGCGTCTCCCGGCATCGCTGATCCCAGAAGAGCTGCACGCGTTGGCTGCCCTGATGGGACAGTCCTTTTGTCGCCACATTGCTGAGCTTCTAAACAGCCCGGATGGCCTCCTGAGCGGGCACATCACGGCCATTCTAGCCGCTCGAACACAAGGCCGCTCTCTCAGCATCCTGGGCTGTGCTGGCTCATCCAAAACTTTCTCTCTGTGGTGCGCCCTAGTCTGTCTGGATGCTGTTCTGGAGCAAACGGTATTCTGGACAGCGCAGCAGCATTCCATTGCTGTTGTCCGTGTTGCCTCCAACCTGTTGGTCAATGCTCCGCAATGGCTGCGCCCGCTTGTCGTTGTGCGTAGGGTGTCTGGCGATGCCGAAATGATCGACCCATCTTTTGATCATGTGCCTTTCACCGAAGCTGCTGAACACCAAGCGCCGGCTTAGGAGAGATTGCCACGACTCAGCCAGGATCCACGGGGCGCAACACCCGTCTTACATCCCCCTCAGTTGGTAGTGCTCACATGCTGCTGCTCACACGCTCTGCCGCGCTGCAACTTCGTTATGCCTCCTATAGCGAGGTGAAAACCTACCTTACCAGCGCACATGTCATTGTGATTGACGAGGGGCAACAGGAGGGACAGTCCGCCTCGGCGGCCATCCTTGCGAACACTGCCAGCCAGCTCGTCATCCGCACCGGGGACCCACGATCAACCCGCGGGTGGCGGTAAAGGCGAGGTCCAGTTACGCACCCTGGCACGACTCATTGCCAAGCCCGTCGGCATCCGCGGCGTCGCCCAGCTAGCTCCGCAGCCTGTCTCCCCGGGACGCCTTGCCGCGGCACTGAGAGGTTTGGTTCAGTCTACACCGCAGGGGCCGCTTCACACTATCCGGTGGACTAGCTTAGGACACCGTCATGACGGCCATCAGGGCGCTGAGCCGCCGACGGGAGCCACCATAACCGTGTGTCGAGAGTTGTCCGAGTGCCTCTTTGGCATTGAGGAAGAGGTTGGAGTCAGCCTCGATGAGGATCTGCAGGAGCTACGAGGATGTCGGGTCACCCGACAAGGGATGAAATACTTCATTCCTTATTCAGGCATCACCAGCATAGGTGACCGAGTGTGCCCTCACCCCGACCGACTCACGCCAGCGGCTATTGCGGTGGACTTCCTCCACCAGTCGGAGTCGCATAGCGAGGCGATGTTGTGCTATCTCGATCGTCTGTCAGCTGTCGGTGCAATACTGGCGCCGGCCAATACCGCTATGCAAGCTGAAGGCTTGGCCTCCATCAATGGAGTTTGCCTGAATCTAGCCCTGGTCGCCTCCACCAGGCTGCTGGCTGACCTTTATCTACTAATTACGGCCGTTCGATACCCTTAATCCATCAGTATGCACAGGGTTTTCGATACCACTCCGTGCCCGATCACCATTAGCTACTAGGTGGAGGGCAATGATGCGCTGTTTGAGCCGCACAAAGTCGGCCGGCGTAAGGTCAGGGGCAGGTGGGAATTGAGGGGCTCTGGCAGCCGACTCCACTGCCTGCAAGAAGGACAGCGCGAGATGCACTTCCGAGGCGAAGTGGCTCCGAGGCCCGAGGCCGTGGCGCAGGTAAGGTGCACGGGCGCACGGGCATGCCAATGGCCAGTGGGACACGTGCCTCAGGCATTTTGAGTACTTGCAGGAACACATCGAGAGCGCCACCAACCTTAATGCAAGACAGACTTTGGAGGAAAAGGCCCCAGCTGCAGTTCTGGCCAGGTTGAGGGGCGGCCCCGAGAAAGGATGGCCACTGCCGGATGAGCAAGAGCGCAGCAATCGGGTTGAGGCGGTTGTGACGACGCTCGGCTTTGCGTTGTTCGCGTGTTTTGCCTTTCACCCGTTCAGGAACGATCAAATCCACAAATACTGCCACCATTTGCCCTCGTCGCAAGTTAAGCTGCAGAAGGCACCCCTCTGTGGGAGGCCGGTTAGCGCTTTGTCGATGCGAGAACCAGCCAGTGTCCTCCGTAGGCGTGTAGCCATGGGGACACGATAAGCCAAGCACGTATGTGCCAAAGCTGAGGCAGTCTTCAACCTTCAGCACCACCGGGAGACCCCGTGCAAAACGCCTGGTAGTGTCATGGTGCGACATCCGACGGTTCTCCTGCCCAGTGTCTTCGAGTGCGGCGCCTTGACTATAGACATGGAAGTGCAGGAAATCTACGACTCGCTCGAGCGACAGCCCATTGAGGGACGTTTGCACTGGTGCCGGCAGAGGCAGGCTGACTGGATTATTCTCCTCATAGCACCGCAACCGCACTTCCTGAACGATCCATGTCCGCAGCGCAGTAATGCAGTGTGGCAGGGAGGCTGTGGTTACAGAGCGAACCGCGTCGCAGAGGGGTTGCGGCAGGGAAGCTACAGTGCCTAGCTTTTGGAGTAATGCCACGGTAACACGGTGAGGGAAAAGGGCAGTTATGACCTCTCCAACCTCACTATCTACCAGTTTCCGACTACGGCAGAAGTGCAGAGCGTGGAAAGCCCATTCCAGTTCCTTGTCCATACTACGCAGGGGGAGATAGGCGCGTGCAGCAGTAACATCCACTCGGGCAGGCAGTGCGAGACCAGCGCGGAGAAGGAGGAAATCTACCAGCCGACGAGGCTGGCGTGCACTGTGCTCTAAGAGCAACGTCAGTGGAGACCTGTTCCGAACCTCGGTGGACTCCAGGCTCAACAGTTTTGAAAATCACGTGCCCTACCTCAGAGCACGAACCTTGCGGCATCACATCGACTTGCTTCAAACAATCATGTGTGATGCTTTCAAGTGGCAAGGTAAAACTTAAATCGAGCAGGATTTTGAAGCGAAGCTACAAAATCCAAAAACCATTTCCGTGAAAATAATACCGTACGCAGGCCGGCTGCGAAGGTGGCTTTCCTAGCCAAGAGGGCACAAGAGAAACGTCTGCGCCAGAATCCAGGATAACTTCGATTCTTTGGTGAAGATCACTTTCCTGGAAAAACTCTTCCTCTACAACGCGTACTGAGAGAACTTCTTGTGGTGGTAGTGCTTCACGTCCAAGGTACCAGTTTAGTAGAGGATCTTCTTGTTCTTCTTCGCTCTCTTCTTCTTCTGACAAAACAAACTCTTCAGCTTCCGTCACTCTCAAAACTCTTCCAAAGCACTCAATCTCGAGCTCTTCTTCGTCTTCATCAAGTTCAAAAACTTCAGGGTACGTGACGGGATCGTCGTCCATGTGGTACATCGCGGTCTGCCGAACTGTTGGCTTAGCGGCTTAGCTGTAGACTTCGCGCTTGTAGTTCTTGTTGTTGTAGCTGCCGAAGCGCTACTGCTTGGAACTGTAGTAGGCTGTGTCCTGACGCTTTGCTCGTCTTCCTCCTGTGCGTTTCTGACGTTCTGCTGCATGTCTCTCTGCTTGAGTCTGCAATTGGCTTCGTAGTGTCCAGGCTTTTGGCAGTAATGACAAACACCAATTTCTGGGTTGTTGTAGCCTTTACCTTTTCCTTTGCTGCTCTAACCTTTTCCCCCGCCTTTGCCATATGGTCAGCCTCTGCCTTTTCCTTTTCCTCGTCCTTTTCCTTT